TTATAGGGCCTTATATATGTCTGCTTCACTGCGTTGCACACTTTTGACCAAAGTTATAATACCCCCTGCAAGGGTATAAAAACCCATTTCTTCTAAAATAAATTTTTAAAATTTTTATTTAAATTCTTTTTTTTTAAATTAAAAGAATAAATTTTTATTTTTTATTTATAAATTCGGCCATAGGCGAGATTTCCGACTATATTATACCCAGTACTATTATCTCTTCCACTCTTCCCACAATTTAAATAACCTTTAAAGTGTAAGCTTTGAAGGTATGGATTATCAGTAATAAATTTTTGTTGCATTCTTTTTCGCTTAGGCTAAAAACATCTGCAGTCTCCCTACGACCGTACTTCAGATTCAGTAGGGACTAAACAGACTAAAAGTCTATAACTCCTCTAAAAATTTACGATTTGGCTGAATTTGGATTTGTAGGTGTAGATTAGAAATAGGAACAGTTTAGCATCAACACATTTTCCAAAAACATTAACGAGCTTGCGCAACAATTAGATTTCTGTGTTGGGTGCGGGAGTGGGCGTGGCAAAATTTTGATACAAACTTGATCTGCGCAGATATCATATCAATGGTCCGAATCGGATAGCCAGTAAAATTTTTTGTATCGCGAAAAGTTCGACATATGCACTGCATGACCCTTTTATGGTGTTATGTTCGAACTACAATGGTCTCTACTCTATAATATTTCTTTCCTGTCCCTCTAATTTAAAATATAGAATTTTAAAATTCCTTACTAACTCCTTCTAGCTTAACAAATTACAAATAGCTTAATATTTACTAAAAAGTTGTTTCTCGAGCGCCCCTCGGTCGTCTGGGCCTCTAAGCTTTTTAATGAATACGGGAATGCTAGCTGATGCTCTTATTGATGCACAACCCAATTTAAAATTCTAAAAGACCACCAAAAAAAAAAAAATTCAATTTAAAATAAATTTTTTTTTATTTTTTTTTTTTATTATTAACATTTTAAATAAGGAAAAGAAAAACAAAACAACACAAAACAAAATTGTTCATTATATACATACATGGTACAAATAAATAATACTTCTTTGTGGATATTTTACTATCCTTATACTTACTTTACTATTCCTACTATACTATCCTTATTTTACTATCTTTACTTTAATATTCTTACTGCACTTTCCCTTACTCTACTATACATATTTACATATTATTTACAAGTTGGTTTTTGTTTGAAAAGAGTAGCATATCTTCAACGGTTGATGATAGCCGCGTTCGACGCTCACTAATAAGTTGTCCAGCTTTACTAAATATAACTAAAATAGCAATATTGTGTTAATAATATAAAATGAAATTAAATTATATAGTATGTGTTTAATTACAATGTGTCAATCTTCCTTTATTTCCTTTAATATTAGAATATTAGTTAAAATTGTTTATTTTTTTTATACCCTTGCAGAGGGTATTATAATTTTGTCCAAAAGTGTGCAACGCAGTGAAGGAGACATCTCCGACCCTATAAAGTATATATATTCTTTATCTGGATCACCTCCTGAGTTGATATGAGCACATGCTCATATGCACGGACATCCGTCTGTCCGTCTGTCTGTTTCTACGCGAATTAGTCTCTCAGTTTTAAAGCTACCGACTTGAAACTTTGCACACACCCTTCTTTCCTTTGCACGCAGTATATAAGTCGGAACGACCCGGTTTTAACTGCAAGGGTATATCAACTTCGTCTCCGCGCGAAGAAAGCCTTTTTTTCTTGTTTTTTTTATAAGTTCGCCTATGTTCCGATTTCGGACTGACACAGAATTCACAAAGCCTTCGTCTATGGTCCGAAAATGAACTCCAAGCTTTTTTTTATCCTTTTGGTGTATATGCCTCCCTTATCCGTTTTCCCCATCATTTGTGGATTATTTGTGGATTAATGCCAGAAAAAGTGGTCATTCACCCCAAAGTGAACTGTAAATGATTTGTTTAAACAAAGCCATCCTATATTATATGACTCACACAAACATAAACAGAGTTTAAGTGGATCAGTACTATTTGAATTGTTGCGACTGGTGATGTTTTCTCGATTTTGATTTGATTCCTTTTTCGTCGAGGGTGAGTGTATAATATTCAGTCATACTCGTTTCAAACTGATTTGTATCTATTTTGGCGAAGTGATCCAAAATCACGTATACACGGTTCACCGTTAAATTTCAATTAAATCTTTTTTTTCCCCCAAAAAGTTTGGTTTTTGAAAATAGCTCTCTAATGTATTTATTTAAATTTATTTGGGATATAGCCCTTCAGATGACGTAACTTTGTATAACTTTGTTTATCATATATTGCTATAAATGGAATAATTTTCTTTCTCAAGAATAATGCAATTTTAAATTTTATGCAGCCTTTTGTAAACCTAAGCGTTATGTAAAGATAGTTAAGATTAAGTTAAGAGTATATTCTGTTGTCAATTTTGGTTTTTTGAAGTTTGTGCGTATACAATGAACTAGATGGAATTGTTTGATTATGATAATAGTGAATTTAAATGACATAATTTGTTTCGACTAGGTGTTGAGATCGAGGCCTTCCAGGATAAGTGCGGCGCTTAAAGACTATGGTATGTACTTGCCGACTGAGTGAATTTTAAAGCATAATTGAAATGAAAGAAACTTTAAGAATATATGAGAAAAACAAGAAAGGAAAGCTAACTTCGGGCGGAGCCGAAGTTTATATACCCTTGCAGTTAAAACCGGATATATATCGCAAACATCGGATATAGTTGGCCGATCCTTATGGGAATAGGAATATATAATCCAATTTATTACAATACAAAATCTAAAAAAAGTCCCAAACTTCTATCTTCAAAAATACGAAAGTTGATATTTCTACCAAATACCATTTCCGATCGTTCAGTTATATGGCAGCTATGGGATATAGTCGGCCGATCCTAATGAAATTTGGTAGGTTGGATCAACTGACCAAGAATTAAACTAAGTTTATAACTGTACTAAGTTCCAGCTTTCTATCTTCAAAAACACGAAAGTTGGGTCATTTCCGATCGTTCAGTTATATGGCAGCTATAGGATATAGTCGGCCGATCCTTATGAAATTTGGCATGACGTAATGTTTTGCCAAAAATAGCTCACATGTCAAATTTGAACTCTCTAACTCTAAAAACACCAAAGCATTTCCGATCAATCAGTTATATGGCAGCTATAGGATATAGTCGGCCGATCCGGGCCGTTCCGGACTTATATACTGCGTGCAAAGGAAAGAAGGGTGTGTGCAAAGTTTCAAGACGATAGCTTTAAAACTGAGAGACTAGTTCGCGTAGAAACAGACAGACGGACAGACAGACGGACAGACGGACAGACGGACATGCTCATATCAACTCAGGAGGTGATCCTGATCAAGAATATATATACTTTATAGGGTCGGAGATGTCTCCTTCACTGCGTTGCACACTTTTGACCAAAATTATAATACCCTCTGCAAGGGTATAAAAATTGATATAGACCTCCTGACAAGGTGGGACGCCCAAGGAATCGGATAATAATTTTGGCTATAAAAACAAAAACCATATATGTATGTATACATATATATACCATATGGGTTATTAGGCACATAAAAGAAGCATACAAATATTAAAGAGACACTTGCAAATATATTAATTTTTGGAACGAAGTTTCTTATGCCGCGGTATGAGTTTGGTGGAGGAGGGCTAGCGGAGAAAACCCGTAACGTAACGTTAAACGGTTATCTGTCTGCTTCTTCTTTGTAGAGTGAGAGAATATAACCATTTTTCCACTCTCTCGCTTTCCACAGTCGAGCGTTTCTACACTGCTCATGCTCATGAAAAGAAGGTTCTCGACATCTTCGGAGATATAGTACTACAAATTTGTATGAAATTCCCCTAATTTTGGCCGGTGATTTAAACATAAACTTTTCTGATAAAAAATCAGAGCCACTGACACAATTTCTCCTTGAAGAATTTCATTTGAAAATTAATAACGACCAAACAATGTTTACAACAAGATTCAATACGACTATTGATGCAGTTTTTTCGAGATACCCGGACCAAGTTGAATCTCAAATGTTTGTATCTTACTTAAGTTATCATAAGCCAATTATCACTATATTTGAATGAACTGATTAGATTTATATACCTAGAATAAATAAGTAATAAATAAAAATCATTTTTGTATAAAGTTGTAAATTCTTGTAAATTATTTTTCGCCTCCATTCACCCCTGTCTCTCCTTCATTGCCAAACATGCCAAAGAAACTTCGTTCGTTACGCGTGTCCCTAGACACACACTGATTTTAAAGTTGAAGTTTTTTGTTCCTATATGGATTTTTTTTCATCGCCAAAATCGACAGATTTTTTAATTGTTGATATAAGAAATAAAAAAGCTTTTTACGATTAAATTGATAATTACAGGGTCTCGCCATCTTGAGCTTCGGATTGAAAATATTGAATATTAAGAAATTGCTTAATTATCATTGTTAAGCAATAAGTTATTTTATTAATATCGACAATATGGGTATTGCATGACTTTCTTGAACCTATCGACCGATATATTGGCCATTTCGGTGCCATTTGAATACTCTGCTTGAGATTTGTGGTGGTCTTGCTCATGTAAACTTTGCTCTTAAGATAACCCAACAAAAAAGGCCGGGGAGGTCAAATTCGCGGAACGCGGCAGCAGCTCGATATCCGCTCGATATCTTTGTGACACAACGCGTCCAGGGAATTTTCGCTGCAAAAGCTCCCTTGATCAGTTTTCTGTGTGACATGAAGTCCCGTCTTGTCGAAACCAGAAGTTTTCAAGACTCTTTCGACGCACAACGCATGTTAGAGAAAGTCATAGAAAAGCTCAGAAGGGACACTTTTTCCATCAAGAACAAAGTTGGCCGTTTGGTCGGTATTGTTTAAAAAATAAAACATTTTACATGAATTTGTGTCTCTTTTACCGAAGCTCGAGTTGGTAATTTATTATTTAATATATAAAATTATTATTAAAAGTAATCACTTACCAGCTCTCATTGACATAAAAAAATAAAATACCGCCCAAGCCAGAATGACAATATAATAAACATTCATCCAACAGGACATTACAGCAGCAGCATAGCCAATTCCTTTAAAATAAATATATATAATTTTTTTTTTACTTAAACAATGTTTATTTATATGTATTTAACTTATTTATTATTACTTTGAATTATTAACAATAAAAAAAACCTCTTGCCGAGGTAAAATAACGGTGACGGACCAGCAAGACACGTTCAAAATATCACATATCCCTTTTTGTAACGAAAAAAATCAATATAGCTATAGAAAACTACATATTCAAAACTTATCATACACGGCACGTGTCTCAAGTGTTTCCTTCACCTGCAATAAGATCAGAACTACCCTTTAAAACAGTGGTGGGCGAAATGCGTGAATAGGGCGCGAAACTCTGCCGCAGCTCTGTAGGCGCACGGACAGTATGAGCGCGTTCGTGCGAAGTCCGAAGACGAAGTTTTATTTTCGAGAGCTGGAAAAATGATTTCAATCGCAGCTCATACTTCATTAAGGCAAGACTATCGCACGCATTTAAAAAATATTTCACTGACAAAAAATGTTTCCTAAACATTGGGAGGAAGAATATTTTTTTATTGAAAATATAGATTTCGAAGCACAAAGCCTAATTTGTTTGCGTAATGTTGCCCGTAAAGAATTATTTTGTACAAGGCCCAAAAATTCATGTAATAATAATTTTCTGTGCAAATAGATATCGATAAATCAGTTTATCGGAATTATCTTATAGCTGCCATATAAAATGGTATTTGGTAAAGATACTGTTGTTTTGCTTCATGCGGAGTTGCCTTAAACGGCTCCCCACACGCGTAGGTCCGAAGAAGGGGGTGCTTCAAAGGCCTTGGCTGTGGCAAACGGAACGGAACGTTTTATTCTACAAAATTCATAAATTAGTTTACAATTCAAATGTTAATTCTTCTTCTTACCGCAGTGTGCCCTCCTACAATTCGCAAAACAATGAAAGACACTTTTCGGCGGCATTCACATTACCGCTATCAGTAGGACCGTAATTCAAAACCCGATAACTTAAATACTACATTTCCTAATAATACTAACTTAACTATCGATAATGTTGTGACCGTCGACAGATACCATTTTTGGTATTTTTAAGATAAAACCTTGGGACTTTTTTTAAATTATGAATTTTATTAAATTGGTTTCATAATAAAACTATTATACCGATTTGTATCGGATTGCAATAATAGCTTTTGGTAACTTCGGCTTCTTCCGAAGTAAGCTTTCCTTTCTTTTTGTATTAAATACCAAAAAGTTTTTCCCCATAGTCCATTGCTTAGAGCAGTGGTGGGCAAAAGTAACACATGTTTAAAATTTGAGTGTGTGCGTAGCAGAGAAAAACAATGAGAGCAGAGAATTCACTGAGTGAAAAAAACGTATTTTTTTATTTCATTTTTCATTATTCAAAAGTTTGAATGGGAACTTAAATAGTGTATTTTGAAAACAAATGAAAAACTACGCTTCCCTATCCATATTCTCCATGAAGAAAACTTTTTCCAACCCAATTTCTGACCGATTTTTCTTTTTTCAACCCAATTTTTCTCAGTGGAAACATTTTGATTTTTAAGTTTGTGTTGTAATATGAGTCAAAATGACAGCAAATGAGAGAGCTTCTAAAAAAAATTGAGAATGCTCACACTGTTAGTGTGCCGGCAGCGCTGCGGCAAAATTTCCTACCCTATACTCGCGTGCTATGTAAATTGAGTGTTTGCCCACCACTGGCTTAGAGGATTATAGGTAGGACAAGCACCTAAAAGATCTGCAAAGAGGTGACACTAGAAGCTATGGGGTTCTGAAAATTATTATTTTTTCTCCCCCAGTGGTAAGAATCTTATAAAAAATTTAAAAAGGAAAAAGATAAAAAATAACCTTTATTGTCAAACAAATTTTAGTTATTAAAACATAGAAAAAACTTAAAAATTTTCAAAAATTACAAAATACTACAAATTTTACTACAAAGCAGTTATTTGTTCAAGTTTTTGGATGCCCGCTGTAAGGAGTTTTAGCTCAGTTAAAGCCAAAGAAATTGGAATGGCAAAACTAAGCAGCAGGTTTTGCTAAGCAAAAATATGTTAAAGTAAAAAGACCAATGCATGCTATAATGTCTGTCGAGAGGGGCACTGACGCCAAGGGCAAAATGAACGAGAACCACCTAGCAATGCCGGAATTCCTGGTGCTGAGTGGTGAGCAACGGCGATCAATGGTAAAGGAGAAATCGGTATGTTTCAACTGTTTGAGACCGAGACATTTTACTAGGCAGTGTGAATCCAAATTCAACTGTAGAATAGGCCACGGACGACACCATTCACTACTATATGTACAACCGGCTGCATCCGCGAGAGGATTTGCAGCAATTAAGATCTCTTCGCAGACCACGGTACAGGACGTCCCAAATGGAAGGTAGGATCAGCGTAATCCGCGTCCTCAGACTGCGTCGGTGACAGTGAGTCACATAGCTCGAGCATGGCCGTCGCCAAAGCACACTATAGACTGCATTGGTATATGTTGAGAACGCAAATGGGACGTATTAAAGCAGTCGTCTACTATTGGACAGTGGTTCTGAGTTGTCAAACATTTTGCAACGTTGCATTAACACACTGTGACTTGCACGATCATCATCACGGATACTGTTATCGGGAATTTCTTTCATAAAAGCTGGGGCAACCAGAGGGATCTCAAATCAAGACTCACAGACAGCTTTCTGAAGGTTACTGCACCCGTTCTCAGTAAGATTACATCGTCTATGCAGAGAATCAACATCGATAATCTCTCAATGTGTTCGATGGATTCCTGATGGCTGCTACCTACTTCGCGTCAGTGGCTTCGATGGACATTTTATTCTACGTTTGCACCACGTTGACGGGCCAAAAGATGCACGAAACATGGGTCATCATGGATTCCTGACATGGCCATCATGGATTCCTGATGGCTGATACGTACTTCGCGTCAGTGGCTTCGATGGACATTTTATTCTACGTTTGCACCACGTTGACGGGCCAAAAGATGCACGAAACATGGGTCATCACATCGGTTGAAGTTAATCAGTCTCCACGCTATTCTCTACATGCGACATTGACAGCAGGCTACAATGATTTTAAGAGATAGAAAAAGTCAGCAGCTTCTTTCAGAAGGATCCACACGCTTGAGAAACATTTACTTGAGACGCACAAAAGGGAAAACAATGGAAAGTATATCATCGAGCTACCATTCAAGACGGCAAGCCTGAAGTTTGCAAAGACACTCCAGGGAGCAGAATCTCGCTTAATGGTTTAGAAAGACGGCTAGTCGACAGCGCAATCCAGATCTTCATAATCACCCGAACCGGTTGGCCATCTCCCTGCTGGACATCAGCGAAGAAAAAGAGAAAAAGACTAAAAAAGACGCACCCGCTGGACCTCCCCTGGATATCCTAACCATAATCTTTAAATACCATAAGCTAAGCTAACTTACTACTCTAATTTAGTTCTCCAATTTTAATACGTAAAATAATCTATAAGTGAAGTTTATGTAATAACATTTAATGGTTGTCCATAAGGACAGTTTTAAATAAACGTTATCCTGCTCTCACAAAAAAAAAAATTCTCGTTTCTGTTACCAATAAGGCTTATTGGTAGTAGAACAAATAGTATTTTTGATCACTGCTTATCGAGTCAGGGTGGTAGCGTAATACATAGAGTAAAATTACAGAAAAAATTAAAAACAAGAAAGGAAAGCTAACTTCGGGCGGAGCCGAAGTTTATATACCCTTGCAGTTAAAACCGGATATATATCGCAAACATCGGATATAGTTGGCCGATCCTTATGAACACATCATAATAAAACCAATTAACTAAAATAAAAAATCTAAAACAAGTCCCAAGCTTCTATCTTCAAAAATAAGAAAGTTGATATTTCTACCAAATACCATTTCCGACAGCTATAGGATATAGTTGGCCGATCCTAATGAAATTTCCTAGGTCGGATTAACTGACCAAAAATATAATCTGTACCAAATTCCAGCTCTATCTTCAAAAACACGAAAGTTGGGTCATTTCCGATCGTTCAGTTATATGGCAGCTATAAGATATAGTCGGCCGATCCTTATGAAATTTGGCATGTCGTATTAGATATACCATTTCCGATCAATCAGTTATATGGCAGCTATAGGATATAGTCGGCCGATCCCGGCCGTTCCGACTTATATACTGCGTGCAAAGGAAAGAAGGGTGTGTGCAAAGTTTCAAGACGATAGCTTCAAAACTGAGAGACTAGTTCGCGTAGAAATGGACAGACAGACGGTCAGACGGACAGACGGACATGCTCATATCAACTCAGGAGGTGATCTTGATCAAGAATATATATACTTTATAGGGTCGGAGATGTCTCCTTCACTGCGTTGCACACTTTTGGACAAAATTATAATACCCTCTGCAAGGGTATAATGATGTCTGGTTAATAAAATTCCAAAGCAGTCGGTTCGTCATTTTGTCATCCGATACGTCCGTCACTTATTTTTACAAAAATTGTAATAAAATGCAATTAAAATATATTAATAATAAGGTAATTGCAAAAAAAATAATACCAATAATAAAACAAGAAAGCAAAGCTAACTTCGGGCGGAGGCAAAGTTTATATACCCTTGCAGTTTAAACCGGATATATATCGCAAACATCGGATAAAGTTGGCAGATCCTTATGGGAATATGAATATATAATCCAATTTTTTACAATACAAAATTTAAAACAAGAAAGGAAAGCTAACTTCGGGCGGAGCCGAAGTTTATATACCCTTGCAGTTAAAACCAGATATATATCGCAAACATCGGATATAGTTGGCCGATCCTTATGAGAATATGATAATATAACCCAATTTATTATAATACAAAAACCAAACTTAAAAATGTCCCAAACTTCTATCTTCAAAAACACAAAAGTTGGGTCATTTCCGATCGTTCAGTTATATGGGAGCTATAGGATATAGTCGGCCGATCCTAATGAAATTTGGTGGGTTGGATCAACTGACAAATAGAATCTGTACCAATTATAGAAAATAGAATCTGTAC